TGTCCCTTTGTGCCAAAGGAGTGAAGATATCAAGGTGATTATCGCCCTGGAGTGTGAGGCTCCTTTAGATATCATGAGTGTGGGACACCAAGTCAACTGTATGACATTTATTAAAAGCCCAATAAAGGAATGGGATGTTCATGCCATGCATCTTTGTAATAAGGTGGGTTGTACATCAGGACCCACGTGCAAGCAGCAGGCCACACAGGCACACACTCCTCCTCACGCCTGAATGAGCCTGTGTAACTATCCTTGACTAACATACCTGTCATCCACTGTGAGTAGTCTTTAAGTGAGCTTCCGCGCTTCATAAATCAGGATCAAGGAGAGGGTTGGCCATCTGGAGAGGTGAGCACATGCCTAGAGTGACAGCCAGGTGTCACTCCAGGATGGAGTTCGTCTCACCACTTGTCGGTACTCTGAGGGTGCCCTTCTTCTTGTACTTCTAAAGTATAAGTCTCCATTTGATCAGATGAAAGGCTTGCTTATCCTCACTGTGCCGCAGGGGTTCCTAGGACACCCAGCTCAGATGGAAACATCTGCACCACAGACATGTGAAGCAGAATGAGATAATCACATTCGTGCTATTCAAATGTACTACACCATTGTGGGGCGCTCTTCCAGACCTTTCTCATTGAAGAATGTAACTGCTAACGGCTCCGTTTCTTTCCTAACATTTTGTTTCTCTGCCTTGGGACAAACTAGCTCCACAAGCAATGAACATTGCTTTTCGTCCTTGTCTCCAGACTCCATAAGCTGGGTGGTGTGATGGAGGACAGCCTAGTCACATAAAAGGAATCAGTGCCAAACTGAAAGAGGCAAACGTGACTTTTAAGCGGTCTCCTTCATGTGGGGAGCTAGGCAGGTGTCACGTGCCAGGAGACAGGCCATGGCACCCCACTGCAAACATTTGAGGTTCGGTAAGAGAGGAGGCCAGGGCCAGGCCAGCAGCACAGCCTATCACTGCAGCCCAGGTTTCTCACTATGAGCACATGGTAGTCAGACCTTGCTGCGCTCGTCACAGCTCTTGATGTCCTTTGGCAGTAACGGCAGCTCTAGTGTCCAGCGGACTTCAGACCAGCCAGGTAAATCTCTAGGAGATAGGAGAGCTTGCTCCTTTACTTAGGACCACAGGCAAGATAGCTTTGGTTAGCTGTTGGGTTACTGCTCTAAGGCAAGACTCTAGCAGTGAAGGTCAGATCTCCTGTAAGCTCTACTCTTCAGGTAATCACTGGCAAGCAAAGGTAAGGCAGCAAAAAAATCTCTTGCTACTGGGAAAATTGCTGCCTTGCCCTAGGAGAAGCAGTACAGGGCCTTTGCTCTCTTTGGGACCTTTGTAATAAGATGACAAGAGCTGAGGGCTTCCTTTCACTGGATTTCAGCATTAATCAAAGGTGTTATCAAGTGGCAGTGCTCTGTAGAAGCTGCCATTTTCGGCAGGCTTATCATGCTCTGATAATGGTGTATCTAATCTTAGACAATATGAACTGGCACTTGCACATCTACAGCCTAAAAGTTACCGCTTGGAGTCATAGAGTCTGATGCTGATTCCAGGAGACCATCGAGGCCGTTTTAAAAAGACAAAGAGAGAGAAAGCTGTGAATTGTGCCTTATTTCATGTCAGTGCTATCTTGGTAATGAAGCCTAATGAAAACCTAGTGGAAGCCAAGAAGGGCAGAGGGTTGAAAGCAGCAGCACCATCTTTCCCCGTCCCATCCAATCTTTCAAAGTAACGCAGCCATGTGGCCTGCTAAGGAAACCTTTGTTCTTTGAAATTACAAATAACCAAATTGAAGACGTGAAAACTGGGTGGGAGACCAAGTTCCCAGAACAGAAATATGAAGACCCAAGCAATAATATGGCTTAAGATAGATTGGAGTTTACGCAGTGGATTTGTGATGGACAAGCTGGTGACCAAGCTCTTCAAAAATGGTTATGGGTTTGGGGATGCCCAACTGGGTTCGCACTAAAGGAACCCCTAATTGAATCAGTAAAAGCCCTGGCTTGTAGCCCTTCACTTTTTGGCTAAGAAAATCCTGCTGCAATGCCAAGTCCTGACTTCCCAAGGCTCTGAAGTGAAAGAAAAGCCTTCATAAATTTTGGACAGTCACTGGTAGGATAGATAAGAAGAAGCAGGAGAGGAGATGCAAAGGTCTGTGAAGGCTCTGCAAGGCTGCCAGGCACCCTTGCAGTCCTAGGCTACAGCAAAGTATCTCTCTACACAGTACTCCCAGCTATAAAGTCCTTTCTGGAGTTCCGAGATCCAGAAAGCAGAGCATTAGTTCAAACTTGAGGGGGCAGAAAAAGCCTTTCTTTCCACAGCAGCCCTGAAGCCAGATCGCTTGGCCAACCTCTGAGACAGCCAGGTTCATGGGGACAGCGGTCAGTCAGGGGAGAGTCAAAATCCTGTCCCCGACGATAATGTCCAAATTGTCAGGCTGCAGGGCAAGTGAGATGGTGGTTTCTCAATCCCAATGGACAAAGGCCTTTCGCTGGACAAAGGATACATGTACACTCATCAGGTTCCAGAAAAAAAAAAGAGGAAAAAGACTGAATGTTATTCCCCGCTTAGAGGGAGACCTGAGTTCTTGTCTCTGCCCTGATAGACACTCAGACACAAGCGCTTAATTCATTGGAGCCAGGTCTGGAAACCCCCATGGAGAGGGTGAGGGAAGGTGATCAGAGCTTGCAACTTCTCCAAGGGCAGGAAAAGGATGATTGGGGCCAAGCTCTTTTTGGTAACGACAGATGATATAAGAAGAGGCAAGGGCCACAAACTGCACTTTGAGAGGTTTGGGTGAAGAGGAGGATATGTCCTTCAACAGCTAGGTGGTGCAGTCCTTGGACAGCTACCCCGAGAGACGAAGGAGGAGGTCGTCAAGGCTGGCCAAACAAAGTCACGGCTGAGCAGATCTCATATCAACAACAGTCATGCTTGGAGCAGAAGGCTGAGCCAGAGACCTCCAGAAGTCCCTCCCAAGCAACATTTCTGTGACTCAGAGCCTTGGGACACAGAGAATTTGGTATCTGTAGGGCTAGGAGGGAGCTGAGAAGTTTTGCATGTCCATATCATTGATTCAGGCACAAAAAGTAGAAATAGCACACTTGGGTCCTTTCATGCAGCAAGCTTCTAAGGTCCTAAGCTTTTTTTTCAAAGCAACTTAAACTCCAAGGAGCCTGTTGGCTTTCTGCCAGACAGAGCCTCCTCAACAGTTTTTGAAAATGATCTGAGCCTTTTCTCCTTTTGAAACCCAGATCCAGGTTTTAGGCTACGGATCAAGTTTTGATCAAAAGGTCAACTGACTCTGCCTTGTGACAATTCAAATGAGGTGCAGTTTCTTGGCCCTGGAAAGTTTTAGAAGAGCCTGTGTTCTGATGGGGAGCTGTACAAGTATTCTGAACTTTGCTATTGAGATTAAGTTTATCTCACCTGTCATTTGTTCAGCAAGTCTGGCTAGATAATAATTACCCTGGCCAAATTTCATTCAGTGAGGGTTTCTTCTCCTTTTTCATAAGTACTTCTGCGTTTCTTTACTAGGGAAATAAAAGAATGTCAATCCACTGAGCACTCGGTGACAAAACAGAGAGGTTTTATTTTTGATTATTGATAACTGTAAGCAAATTATAGCAAATATCATTTGGTTGCGTTTCCAAAATTGGCAGCAGTAATCAAGATAAACAGAGACATTCAAAGGAGAATGACTCCTACTGCAGCAGACACCAAGAGCAGATGATATTTCTCCAGAATCCTATCCATCTAAGTGTGCTCACTGTCTGCTTCTACTTCTCCTACCTCCATCATCCACATTTACCCAGCATACCAAAGTTGGAAGCATAGTTATCATGTATCTCTCCACAATAAATGAGAAGAGGAGGACAGCTGCAGAAAACAACTTAGATCTGAAGTAGGGTCAGTTACATCACGCGTTGCCCATTTCTGCTGACAAACAAGAGAATCCTGGACAATTATTTAACGTTGATGGGAGAGGGAGAGGGAGAAGCCGAGCTCGGCGGGTCTTGGCCCAGAGGGTGGACGCTCGGAGGTGATGAGGAGACTTGGGACGTCCGGCCATAAGGGCACGCTGGCCAAGGAGCCCAGCCCCAACCATTGCCTCGAGACTTCTGATGCGGTATTTGTGAGAAATGCAGCTATAGGGGAAGAGATGCTTTGTCGATAGACAAGTAACTGTTCCTGCTCTGGGGAAAAGGAGATTAGAGAGATTTTTAGCAGTGGCTCCTCATGATTTGATCACTAATGGCACCAGTGCATTCATCCACACCAAACCCCTTCGCGGAGGCAAGCGCAGAGGGATGGAGCCTGAACTCAAAATGAGTTCTTCAAGCTGGAGTACGTCAAGCCCAGGATTTGATTTTGAGTCCTGTTTTTTCATTAAGGGACCATGATGATTTTGTGACTGGTGCTACATATCCCTGGATTATACCAAAGCACACAGCTACGGAGGAGGACTGCAAGGCATCTGCAGGAGTGCCAGTTTCTGCACTCTGCCAGTGTGCAGCCAGTATTTTTTGTGCCAGTGTTAAAGACTTAGCATGTGCACATGAGCAAATAGAGACACCCCCCCTCCCCAGTGCTGTCAGCTCCAAAGGACATCATTTTTCACCACTTTCTGCTCTTCTGGATGTCCATTTCCAGACTACAAGCTGATTAGATGATTTGGCTCGTTCCTCTGATAGCCAGTCTCTCTGTACAGGTTTTCTTTCCTCATTTGTTTATGGATGCCACGTTGCTACCTCCATAAAACAGGTTTATGGGACATTCCCTGCCCTCACATTGTAAATCAAGATCTGTAAAATATAGAGCAATTTATCACTGACCATTGCCCAGTTGTATGTTAATGTTTGAACATAGCCATAAAATAATTACATCATCTCACCTCTGACCAACTTTTAGAGCAAAAGGTCCTTATAAAACCAAGCTCTGCTTGCCAGTAAGGCGTTTTCTCTTGTGTTGGGAGTAGAGAGAGCCTTCACTGGAAAGTATGAGCTTCACTGGAAAGTATGAACTCCAGTCCCATGAAAATTTTGAACCTTTTATGAAAGCCCTTGGTAAGTGTCTGATCTGTGTGTCTACATGTGTCATGTGCTGCTTGTGCCTATGTAGCTTCCACTGGTATTTGGAATAATCTCATTGTGCATATATGTTGATGATATAGGTTGAGAACGCGTCTCACTTCATATTTCTGCCTGTCAACCTACAACACTAAAGGTTTTTTTTTAATGTGCTGAAGATATGATCTCAAAATACAGAAGAGAAAGCATCTCACTGGTGGCTGGAGGTTGAGAGACTGTCGGCGAAACTCTTCAGCGTACATGAAAAAGGTCTCAGCAGTCTCTGCAGCCATGGGCCAGATCTGCAATTGCAGCAGACTGCCACAAACACGTGCCAAGCCAGTAGGACATGGCTGGCTTTGGGCAGTCACACATCTGTCCCATCAGGCTGTGAAATACGAGAGTGAGCCACCCGCCTCTAAACCTCCCATGCTGTCACTCTGCAATGGGGCAAGTCTCCACACTCCACCATTTATCAGAAAAATAGTCTGCTTATTTAGATACCTGGTGATGGACATGGCCAGCTATATTTCTGCCAGCGTCCATGCCAGGGAACGTGGTCTTGCAGGTAGTCAGAAGGGGTTTGCACTACTTCTGCTGGAGGAGCTCTACCTGTCAGATCAGCTTCAGGACCTGGGAGAGGACTTGAGTCCCCTGGTTCGGAGGGACCCTGAATCTCATCACAAAAACACCTGGATCCCTCCTTCTGCCTTGATTTATTCTGTTTTCTCTTCTTGCTTCTCTCTCCTCACTCAGTGAGGAAAACAGGGTTTCTTCTTTCCCTTTGATGCTTGGCCAAGGGAGGTAGCTGTTCTGCTCCCAGCCAGCTCCTCCACACAAAGTCCTGGATGACATTATTTGTTATGCTTCCGCCCTAGCAGATTCAGGGCTGTGTGGCTGCCAAGGAGCTGTTGTCCTGACAAGGCTTTTCCAGGCTGGAGTAGAAACTCTCCTAACTGGGGGTCCTGCAGACCTTCAAATCCTGCTGTGTTTATTTGGCTTCCTCCTCTGGTAGCAGTAATCTGTGCACTGACGGCTCTAATGTCCATCTAATGGCCCTTGTTTCTGGCCAGGGCTCCCCGATGATCAGATTCAGAAGGGCAAGGACATCAAGAGCATCTCAGAAATCGTGCAGGATGGGAAAAAGTTCAAGTTCACCGTGACCACCGGCAGCAAAGTGCTGAGTAACGAGTTCACCATCGGGGAGGAGAGTGAGATGGAGATGCCGGGGGGAGAGAAGGTCAAGGTGAGTGAGCAGCTCCCCGTCTGCTCATGCTGTGAGTGCTCAGGCACATCAAATTTCCTTTCCAGCCATTCCACCTGCACTTGGGCCAAGGGAAAACACTGAATGATCAGACAACAGGTACTAAAGCTGACAGTGGGCAGAGATCTGCGTAACTCCCCAGCCTGGTTTTGTCCCTTGCAGTTTGCTTTGCATGTGTGATTTGATATAGTGGAAGGGGGGCTGATCCCTGAAACCAAGCCTGTGGATGTGACACCTAGTGCTCTAGTTCTCACAGGTCTTCAGCAAGTCTTCTAGGTGCATGTTTTCAGACACAGCAGGTCCGTTTCAGAGCAACCGTCTTGAGAAACTTGGAGCCTGAAACTCTGAGGTTTCTACCTCCCTCATTAGCTTTTACAAAACACTATACAATAAACTCCTCACTCAGCACTTCTGCAGACATGGCCTTGCATTTCCAAAGCTATTTTATTAGCCAGTTTGGAAAACACTGGCTGTGACTGCAAAAGTTCTCAAAGATTTGAGGTGAAAAAGGTTTGATTTTCCATCCCATTGCAACATAAAGCAACCCTCTCACCTTCATTTTGTTGACTTAAAAGTAGTGTAAGAAAGAGAGCCAACGAACCATAAAACAATAAATCTGTCCTTCTAAGTCCCAAAGGCTCTTATCTTGTCTGGTAGCCTTTTCCACTGCTCCTGTTTACACTGGGTGAGATGATTTGGCAAGGTGAGGATTTATCACCCTAGAAATTGGGTCAGCTCCAGTTCCTAGACAATTATGCAAAGTGGTTCATAAAACGTCAAGACGGTGCCACTGGCGAATACTGCCTCTCACTTCTGCCTCGGGAGAAGATGATATTGCAGCGGCTTTTGAAAGCAAAGAAATGGCCCAGTGAATCGGGCCCCGAGAGCTGCAGAAGCCATATCATGATTTTCAGCATCGCTGAAGTCCCTAATACATGAGCTAGGGAAGACCAGCTATTATATGTGTTTTACCTTTTAGAAATGAGCAATTAGAGGGCAGATGAACATGCCTTATAGCTGGACAGACAGATGGACAGAAATGTTTTTTGCTGGATTTTTCACTTGAGTAATTTCAATAATAGGTGATAGTTGCCCTGGGGCTGTCAGTGCTGGCTGGAGTCTTTGCAGACCTGCAGCTCCTGTTGGGCAAAGACCCACTGGAGGTGTCCATCCCCCCTGAGAACTTTCCAGACGTGGCTGTATTTCTTTAAGCTCATTATCTTGCCCCCCAGCTTGATTTAGACTAGTACCGACCCCCCATTGCCACACAGTTCCCCTATCCCCTCCTGAAGGAGGGTGCTGCAGCAGCATGCAATAGGCAGGCCGTGGAGAGGAGGCCATGTGACACCTATCTGAGCCCCAGACCCAGCTCAGGCAGCTCTGTAGCACTGCACGCCGAGGTGTGCAGGCCCTCTTGCTCTGGATGCTGAAGAAGCCTCTTGTGGAAAGTGAGATGCTGACCCAAGGAGTCCCAGGGCTGCCCGAAAACATGAGCATTGCTGGATGTGAAGAGCCTTCCCCCAAACTGGTGGTGTGTGATGCCAAGACTGGCTGCTCCAGCATGGTGCAGGAGCTCTCGTGGTGCAGGAGCCATGAGAGGGTCCCATTTCAGAGGGGACAGAGGTAGGAAAAGCAGCAAAAGAAGTAGAAGGCCAAAGTAAACACCCATACCCTTGCCATGGCACTGTCACCAATAGCACAACCCTCTCTCCTCATCCCCTTTGGAAAGCCAAAATCACCAGGGGAGCAGCACCCTGCAAACAGCCTGCACAGGGCATGGTGGCAGCTCAGTAATGACAGGGGAGGACAAAGGGCAGGGACTAAAAATGGTGTCTAGCAATAATATGAATGTCTGTCTCGTCCCCTCTCTACCAGGCTGTTGTGCATATGGAAGGTGACAATAGGCTGGTGGCAAACATGAAAGGGCTAAAATCTGTCACTGAACTCAACGGAGACATCATCACCAGTGTAAGTATAGAAGAAAGGGGTGGTGGCATGAGTAATAGTGTATACAGCTGCATTCAGGGGTCCTGATGGAGCCATCAACCACTAGCCTAGAGTAATGCTGAGGACCTCAGCGAAGTGTTAAAGACTAGCATGCGCTAGCACTCTGGCTCTAAACCTAGGCTGACCAGGCGGACAGGCGCTGAAGACTTTTTGTGTAGTCTGATACACAAGGTATTCTCTGAGTCCCCAGAAAACATTGACATAACGAGATCACGTTCTCACCCTGAGGTACAGACTTGTGGCTGAGCATGACGCTTCTACATAAGAGAGGTTGGCAGACTGATCTCAGATAACGGATGTCAAATTATCCCTACTTACTTTGGGGTACTCATTAATACAGCCAAAGTTTTAATAACTCCATTTGTAGGAGATAGATAGACTGGGGACCAGTCCTGTCTTCTGATCTGTAGCATCAGATCCTTTCCACGCAGAGAGTTTGCAGACATGCACAACGAAAAGCTAATGCTTTGCATTTGTTTTGTAGACGCTGACCTTCGGAGATCTCAGCTACAAGAGAATCAGCAAGAGAATCTAGAAACCCTGTGCATGCTTATCATTTTACTGTGTAAAATGTGCCCACTAAAGTCAATTTTATACTAAAGACCTTTTTATTACTGTCATCAGCCTCTTCATTGTGGCTATAGCGAGTGCGTTGTAAAGAGCTGCCTGGGCCACGGCGCCTCTCTTTCACATATATCTAAGTCCCAGCTGGTGGAAATTGAGCAACGGGCTCAGCAGAGGCCGTGCCTCCGTCGGCAGCTGAAGTAGGGCCAGGGCACAGGCTCAGCCCCCAGTGCGAGACCTCCATGTCATTTATCCGGCAGTACAGATGTGCTTTGAGCTGTGAGCACCATGACAGCCCGCCCTGGGGCAGGCACCAGCCCCCACGGAGAAGCCATCCTGCAAGCTCCTGGTGCATCTCCCTCTGCCCTGCCGAGGCAGGGGGAGAAGTGCCAGTCTTATTAAAGATATGGCCCGATGTGACCGCAAGCTGACTGATGGGGTCAAGGTACAGGGCAGCTGAGGGTGGTGGACGGTTGGAGACCGCGACGTGACAGCAACCCTGCGGCTATTTGTCCCTGTCCAAGGGTACCTTGGGGTAGGGATGAGTGTGGGGGAATTTGGGGCATCCCGGCAGCCTTCCACATCCTCACACCCCTGCCCAGACAGCAACAGAACTCAGCCCTGCAAATTCCAGGCACCCCATCGCCACCTCCTCCCCATTCCTTCCCGCCAGCCAGAGGGCCCCGGACAGGCCTTGGGTGTTAAGTGTGTGTTTTGGCCCAAGCTGTGCCTGGTAAATTGAGTTACTGGAACTGAACTCTTTCTTCTGGGGTGAAATATAGGTTTTTCTCTCCTGGTAGAAGAATGGCATTGGTTGCTCACAGGAGCCACACAGTTGTCTCTGATGCTCTCACTAGCACCCCCCAGGGCATTGCTCTCTGGCAGGCTGGATGAAGATGGGGTTTTCTGACACACAGGGGAGAGGAAATTCTTTATTGGTAGCAGTCACTTCCAAACCATGTGCTTGGAGGCTAACTGGGAATCTTCACTGTGAAATGGATTTATGGCTGATGTGATATATCTAGTTGGGATGATGTTCTCAAACTTCTCAAAGCTGAACAGTATGTTAGGAAAACAATACCAATGCCTCCCCACCTCATTCTGCAACCTAATGTGTCCTATTAAAGAACCAATTTGTCTTCATGCGCATTTCTCCCATCACGTCTCTCTCCTCAGGGAAGGTTTTCATGCTGCAGAGAGAGGTGATTCTCATGTTGGGAATTGAATCATTAGGGTTTGTCAGACTGGATGTCAGATAGGCACTCATGAATAAATGAAAGGGCTTAGCTCAACAGAATCTAAAGAGCAGATGTTGGACTCCCGCGAAACCATCTTAGATCTGGAGCACTGTCAGCGAAACCACTGAGAAATGACAATGAGAAAAGCCCTCGCTCTGTTTTCTTGCTTTTCTGTTGAGAAACAGGTAGAGGATTCTTGAATAAGTGACCACTTTTCATCTCTTGGCTGTCACTGAAGGTCTGGAGCAAACCTGTTGGACTTTGAGATGGATGGGCAGGTGGTAAACACCTTTTTTATTTAAAAATCCAGGCTTTAATCTTTTGGGGGTGGGGGGCGAGGGGGGAGGGCTCCAGCCAAGAAGCAGAACTCTTCAGTGACATAACCTGCTAATGGCATTTCACAGAACACAGCAGTCCCTGGATGAAATCAGAACACGGCCATGGTGGAAGCACCCACTGTCTGCAGAAGGGGGTGGTTTTGTGGTTATATCTGCAACACGGCATGTTTTACAATAAGGATAAAGGACGTACTGGTGCTCATAGGAGCCTAGGTAAAGCTAAAACCTTCAGTTTATGGCACACTGCCGTTCCTCTTCCATTTGGTGAAAAACATATGGTAGAAACATTACCTGTCCCCATATCCACAGCGCACATGCCCGTAACTGCTCTGCTTCTGCCACCCCTTGGCCCACGGGCCGCCCAAAAGACCACGCCATCATGTCTGTTGCAGAACCCATCTCAGCGCTCACCTTTAACAGTCGTGTATGTTCAAGGCTCAAACGCAGTGGTAGCAAAGCAGGATCCAGTTGAAACCAGTCTGGTGGACCAGCATGAAAGAGGTCCAGCTCTATCAGAATATCAACACTGGAGCTGGGCGAGGAGCAGGAGCTGTGGTTAGGTGGAGTAGTGGGCAAAGGTCTCCCTCCCTTCCACCAACAGCACAACAGCAGTCCCCAAAGAAGCCTGGCAAGCAAGGCTCAGCTTTTCCTGCCCTCTAGTTAATATAAGTTGGTACTCCTCCATTTCTCTGGCTGGTCTGTTGTAGATAATGAAACTGGGTCATGTCCTAGCCTCCTTTGACTCTCTTCTCTCCCTGGGGTTTCAGCTATTGCTTATAAGCTTAGGAAAAGTCTAGGTGGCTGGCCACTGGCAGCCAATCCATTTACTATCCTTTTTTTCCCCCCTCACAGAATCACAGAATGACTCAGGTTGGAAGGGATCTCTGGAGATCATCTAGCCCAACCCCCCTGCTCAAGTAGGGTCACCTACAGCACTTTGCCTAGGATCATGTCCAGATGGCTTCTGAATATTTCCAAGGAAGGAGACTGCGCAACCTCTCTGGGCAATCTGTTCCAATGCTCAGTCACCCTCACACTAAAGAGGGTTTTTCCTCATATTCAGACAGAACTTCCTGTGTTCCAGTTTATGCTTGTTGCCTCTTGCCCTATTGCTAGGCACCACTGAGAAGAGTCCAGCCCCATTCTCTTGGCACCCTCCCTTTAGTTATTTGTATACATTGATCAAATCCCCCCTCAGTCTTCTGTTCTCCAGGCTGAACTCAGTGCAAAATCGGGCATATCTAAGCAGACATGTGCTGAAAGGCATGAGTTGACTCAGTCCACCCTCCAGGTGAGTAAAGGCAGATCAGCTCCTACCTGGACACTGGTCATTCAGTTAGAACAATCCACTCAGTCAGTGCCCCACACTAATGCAACAGGCTTCTGGCATGGACCCATCTCACATCCATCTGCTGCCAGCATTGTAGACCTTTCCTAATTTTAAATAAGGTAACTTATCCTGAAGTAATTCATCCTAATTAATTTATCCTGAGGTTGGATCTTGATTTAGTCTCTGTGTCACCCGCAAAGTGCCCGCAGTTTAATACTGCATCAGTGTCAGCTGAGGGATCATTTTTCATTGGTTTTCATCAGAAAAATATCACTTTACACAAAATACCATCTGCGGATGAAATCCTGCAGGGCTTACTCACTTTGCACCTAATGTTCATAATTATATATGTCTCTTTTTGGACCCAGCTTCTCACTCTACTATCCCTTGGTAAACTACCCAAAGACGTCACTAGAAAGAAATGATGTCCTCACAAGGAAGTGATGGAAGAAAACACTTAGGAAAGAACAATTAGAAATTTAACCAAGGACTTCAGGATCAGGACTTGCCTGGAGAGAAATAAGCTTTGAAGAATTTAAATTATTATAACAGATTTTTTTAACTTTCACTTTTAATGCTAATAGTAGAAAAAAGATGTTGCTTCTGCAAAGCTCTTCTGCTCTAAGACCCCAGAAGATTTTTCAGGACTCTCTCCCAGCAGGTCCATGTTCTCAGACTGGTGCCATCGGAAAAAATCTTTATGGATATATCACATTCATATATCACATTCCCAATGTTTGGAGCTGCCACAGGTGATGTTATCCCACAGGCACGAATTTGTGTCAAGCTCAAGTTTTATTCCTTCTTGTGGAAGAGGCTGGGTGAGGTCTCATTGGTGGGTTCTGGCATGACCTGAATCTTTTGGTTTTTGAGGGCAGCTTCCCTCATTTTGTAATACATGAACTCATTCTGCTGGAACATGCGCAGCTCCATCTCCGTCTGGACACGCATGACCTGGGGGATAAAGTAGGTTAAAGACCTATGACACAGGGGATCTCATAGGAAGTGAATAACTCACTGCCTACACAGGGCAACTGTCCACCAGTGATGTCCTAGGCCACATAACGACCGTGATGCACCTTGTTCTAGGTATTCCACCAGTAGGACCAAACTGGACACAGATAGTCAGGTACTTTCTTAAACCCCGTCGCCAGTGTATTCCGGAGGTGAAGAAGGCATCAGGCCTTCCCGTGTCCAGCTCCTCTGCAAACTACTGGGAAGCCTCAAGCTCCCAAACCCAACTGGGGCACAGGAGAGGCAAGGACCCAGAGGTGAAATGGTGCACAGCCAGGAAGCGGGTGCATTCCCATCCATATCACAGGTCTGACCGATAGTGGGACCCATTATCAGGGTGGGGGTCATGTGGGAGGAGGTAGGGGAGGAGGAGAAGGATGCTCGGCCCCTCTTTGATCACATCACCATTGCACCCCCTTGCATCCCAGGATTCATCGTGAGCAGAGTCATTCCTATGCTGTACCATGGAGCAGTGGCATAGGCCCAGAAGGGGTTTTAGGAAGTCTTTTTACACTTATTTGAGAGTTTCTTAGACCCTTGGCTTAGGAGCACAGAGATAAGTATGTGTCGTAACTCCACTCTTTTCCTCCTGAAGAAAGTGAGAAAGGGAATGTAGAAATGGAGACACCACGGTCTCACCTTCTGATACATATAAGGCAAACAGTCAACAGACAGGACACCTTTAGGTAATAGAGACTCATTTTTCTGATGAGGTAAGATTGCACTAATAAAGGCTATGTCTCTGCTGTAACAGGAATTAAGGATTTCATTTGGTACCATGTGATTATTTTTGCTAATAAAGGAGAACGCTGTAAAACCAACAAATCACATGAGGGGAATTAAAGCCTAAAGAAATGATAGATCCCCAGCTGTAGTTGTAAATGGTGTATCATAATTGATCAGCTATAATTCAACAGCGATCTGCAGCTCTTTCCTAAGCTAGGAAATCTTATCAATCACTTGAGGAAAAAATGCATTGCAACTCATTACCAATAAAGCCTGTCAGGGACAGAAGGACTACAGAGTGGTAAATAAGGAAGAATAATGGTCG